GTGAGTTTTACTATTACATGCTGGGGCGTTGGTCTGTTTTCCTTGATCTTGGGAGGGGTCCTCTGTCTCTTGGACGCAAATGTTTGTTTCATTCCCCAGATTAGGGAAGTTCTCAGCTATGATTTGCTCTAATATATATTCTAGGCCTCTCTCTCTCTCTCTGCCCCCTCAGGGGGAGACAACCCATGAGAGACTATGGACTCTGAGAAACAAACTGAGGGTTCTGGGGGGGGTGTGTGGAGGGATGGGTTAGCCCAGTGATGGGTTTTAAAGTGGGCATGTAATGAATGGAGCACTGGGTGTTATATGGAACACTACATCAAAAACTAATGATGTAATGTATGGTGATTAACATAACATATTAAAATAAAAAAAGGTGTTCATATTGGAAAGGAAGAAGTAAAACTACCTCTTTTTTAGATGTCATGATCTTGTATACAGAAAATCTTAAGGGATCCACTAAAATATATATGAAGAAATAAGTAAATTCACATTTTGCTGCATACAAGATTTGTAAATAAAAATCAATTGTATTTCTATACACTAATTGTTACAGGTTGAATTGTGTTCCCCAAAGAGTTATGTTGAAGCTCTAAGTCCTAGTATCTCATAATGAACTTATTTTCAAATAGGGTTATTGTAGATGTAATTAGTTAAGATGAGGTCATACTGGGATAGGATTGGTCCTTATTCCAATATGACTGGTATCCTTGTAATAATTGGAGAAGACAGTACACAAAGAGGGAAGAAGTTATGGAGGCAGAGATTGGATTTATGCTACTACAATCCAAAGGATACCAGGGACTACTAGAAGCTAGACGAGGCAAACAGGGATTCTCCTTTAGAAGTTTCAGAGGGAGCATGGCTCTAACAACTTAATTTTAGATTTATAGTCTCCAGAACTGTCAGAGCATAAATTTTGTTTACCCAGATTGTGATATTTTTTTTTCACAGCAACCTTAAGAAACTAGTACACTGTGATGAACATTCCACAAATGAAATAAAGAAAACAATTCCATTTAAAATAACACCACAGACAACAAGAAAGAATTTAACAAAAGAAGTGTAAGACTTGTGCACTGAAAACTGCAAAACATTGAAAGAACTTAAAGAAGACCTAATTAAATGAATAGACATTCCATTTTCATGGGCTGTTAGGTTTAATAATCTTGAAATGGCAGTGCTCCTCAAATTGATCTACAGATTCAATGCAATCTGTCAAAATCTCAACTTTCTTTTTGATGAACTGACAAGCTGATCCAAAAATTCATGTACAAATGCAAGGAATCCAGAATAGCCAAAGAAATCTTAAGAAGAACAAAGTTGGAGGACTCACATTTAATTATTTTTTGATTATTATTTTTTACATTTAACTAATTTTAAAACTTAACACAAGGCTGTAGTAATCAAGACAATGTGGTACTGGCATAAGATTAGACCTATATACTTCAGTGGAATAAAACAGAATGTCCAGAAATAAGCCCTTAAATTTATGGTCAATTGATTTTTTTAACAGGGAGGCCAACACAATTCAGTGGAGAAAAGAATAGTCTTTTTAAAATTTTTTTTATTTTTTATTCAAGTATAATTAAAATAGTCTCATATTAGTTTCAGAGGTGTATAATATGATCCAACAATTCTATACACAAGAATACACAACATTAGTTGGTGTATTCTTAAACCCCTTTATCTATTTCATCCATCCACCCACCCACCTTTCCTCTGGTAACCACCAGTTTGTTCTCTATATTTAGGAGTCTGTTTCTTGGGTTGTCTCTCTCCCTTTTTTCCTTTGTTTGTTTTCTTAAATTCCACATATGTGTGAAATCATACGAATCTGTCTTTCTCTGACATATTTTAGTTAGCATTGTACCCTCTAGATCCATGTTGTTGCAAGTAGCAACATTTCATTCTTCATATGGCTGAATAAATACTCCATTGAATGTTTGTGTATATCTATCTATATCTATATATCTTCTTTATCAATTCATCTATTGATGGACACTTTGGCTGCTCCCATAGTTTGGCTATTGTAAATAGTGCTGCAATAAACATAGGGGTGCATCTATCCTTTCAATTTAGTGTTCTTGTATTCTTTGGTTAAATTCCCAGTAGTGTGATTACTGGATTTGTAAGGTAGTGCTATTGTTTATTTTTTTTAAGGAATCTCCATACTGTTTTCCACAGCGACTGCAACACTTTGTATTCCCACCAAAAGTGCACAAGTGTTTCTTTTTCTCCACATCCTCACCAACGCTTATTTCTTGTGTTTTTTATTTTAGCCATTATAGGAGGTGGGAGTTGATATCTTATCATGGTTTTGATTTGCATTTCCCCAATGATTAGTGATCTTGAGTATCTTTTCATTTGTCTGTTTGCTATGTGTATGTCTTTGGAACAATGTCTATTCATGTCCTTTGCCCATTTAAAAATCAGATTGTGGTTTTTTTTTTGGTGTTGACTTCTGTAAATTCTTTATGTATTTTGGATATTAACCTTTTATTGGATATATCATTTGTGGAAAGAATAGTCTTTTTAATAACTGATATTTTGACAACTGGATCTCCATATGCAAAAGAATGAAGTTGCATCCTTTCTTCATGCTATCCAATAGAACTAACTCAAAAATTATGAAAGACCTAAATTTAAGAGCTAGAACTATAAACCTTTTAGAAGAAACATAGGAATAAATCTTTGTGACCTTGAGTAAGGTAATGGCTTCTTAAATAGGACACCAAAAGCACAACCAACAAAAGAAAAGAAAATAGATAAATCAACTTTCATAAAATTAAAAACTTTTGTACTGCAAATGATAAATCAAGAGTATGAAAAGTAACTCAGAATGAAAGAACTATTCACAAATCATATATTTGATAAGGGACTTGTATCTAGAATATATAAAGAACTCTTATGCCTCAATAATAAAAAGATAAATAACCCAAATTAAAAATGGGCAAATTATCTGAATAAACATTTTCTGAAGCAAGATATACCAATGATCAATAAGCACATGAAATGATATTCAATATCATTGTAATTAGGGAATTTCAAATCAAAACTGCAGTGATATACCACTTCACACCCATTAGGATGGCTATAAGAAAAAAAAAGATGACAACAACAATTGTTGTCAAGGATGCAGAGGAATTGGGACCCTCATACATTGCTGGTGGAATTGAAGTGGTGTGTCTGCTATGGAAACGAGTTTGTCAGTTCTTCAAAATGTTAAATACAAAGTCAACATATGACCCAGAAATTCTATTCCTGGGTTTATACCTGAGTGATCGAAAACATATATAAGCAAAAACTTGTACATGGATATTCATAGTAGCATTATTCATAATAGCCCCAAATGGAAACAATATAAATGCCCATAAACTGATGAATGGATAAATAAAATGTATACACCTGTACAATGGGATAATATTTGGCAGTTAAAAGGAACACAGCACTGATATATGCTACAACATGGATGAACCTTGAAAACATTATGCTAAAGAGCTTTCAATAATAAAATAAGAAAATATATTTTTATTTAAATGAAATATCCAGGATAGGCAAATCTCTAGAGACAAAAAGTAGATTAGTGTCTGCCAGTGTTGAGGCAGTGCTGGGAAGAATGGGGAGTGACTGTTAATGGGTACAGGGTTTCTTTTTGTGGTAATTAAAATGTTCTAAAATTTAATAGTGAAAATAGATGCTCAACTTGGTGAATATATTAAAACCCATTGAATTGTATATTTTAAATAAATGAATTGGATGTTATGTTAATTATATCTTAAAGCTTAAAAAATTTGGATTATAATAAATAACTCATTTATCAAAAATATAGTTTACTCATACCTCAGAGCAGTGTTCAGCAAACTGCAGCCCCCGAGTTAAATCTAGCCAGACCCATTCATTTACCTATCATCTATAGCTGCTTTTTTAAAAAATATTTTATTTTTATGTTAATCACCATATATTACATCATTTGTTTTGGTGTAGTGTTCCATGATTCATTGTTTGTTCATAACACCCAGTGCTCCATGCAGAATGTGCCCTCTTTAATACCCATCACCAGGCTAACCCATCCCCCTACCCTCCTCCCCTCTAGAAACCTCAGTTTGTTTTTCAGAGTCCATCATCTCTCCTGGTTCGTCTCCCCCTCTGACTTACTCCCCTTCATTCTTCCTCTCCTGCTATCTTCTTCTTTTTCTTTTTTCTTAAAATATGTTGCGTTATTTGTTTCAGAAGTACAGATCTGTGATTCAACAGTCTTACACAATTCACAGCGCTCACCGTAGCACATACCCTCCCCAATGTCTATCACCCAGCCACCCCATCCCTCCCACCCCTAACCACTCCAGCAACCTTCAGTTTGTTCCTGAGATTAAGAATTCCTCATATCAGTGAGGTCATATGATACATGTCTTTCTCTGATTGACTTATTTCACTCAGCATAACACCCTCCAGTTCCATCCATGTCATTGCAATGACATAGCTGCTTTTACAGAACTGGGGTACTGACCGATCGATCATCTGACCTGCAAAATCTAAAATATTTCCTATCTGGCTCTTAATAGAAAAAGTTTGCCAAATCCTGCTATGGAATAAGAAGTGGTACTTAAAAGGAGTGAAATATATTTGTATTTATTAACATAAATAGATCTCAGACATTGGGTTAAATGAAAATAATAAGTTTAGGATGATATATACATTGATGCCATTTATGTGAAAAAGAAAACAAAACAGTCATCTAACCCACTAGCAAAAATTATAGAATCGAATAGGTACATGTACAATTTTATGAATGCATCAAGCAAGTTCTGAAAAGATACACAACAATCTGATAATATCTCTAGAGAGAGAATTGGATTTTTGGAATGGTAGTCAAAGTGTACTTTAAGCTTGTTTGTATTATTAATTTTTTTCAAAGAAAATATGTAAGTATGTTATATAAGTAAAAATAAAAATGTAAAAGGATAACAGATTATAGATATTTTTGGTTTGTTTTTCAGAGCTGTGAGTGATCAGGGTTTGTTAGAGGCTGTAAGTATAGCACTCTCAGTTTGAAATTACACTTTGCCCTCGATAATGTTAGATTCTAGAAATTGTCAGGATGAATAATCTTAAAGATTCAATACTTCCTCACTTTATTCAAGAAATTTCTATGCACACGTGCACTGGGAAGCTTTGTCTTTTTTAACTTTACTAGACCTTATTATCACTCAAAAACCCTTCACTTCTGAAATATTGAACTATAATACCGTATAGTCTTCTAAATTTCTATTCATTGTACTTCTGGTTTGTTTGCCTCTTTCAGCCCCAATTATCATTCATTATGCAGATTAATACCAATGGTTCATATTTTCATGAGTTAATGAAGAATTTCTTACTTTAATAATTAAGTGCCCAAATAATTTCTCTATATTGAAATGTATGCTTTTCATTATTACTAAAATTATAATATCTGTTTTTAGAAATTCAAACAAATGGAAAATGATTTTCAAGTGTTATTAGAGGAGAAATTGAGGCTGGAAAATGAATTACAAAAGCTGAAGAATACTGAGGTTAGTTCAATTTTAGTGTCTGAAAATGGTAGAATACCTAAAAAACCTTATTATTGTAGGATAGAAATTAAAGATATATTTAAATGTTTTATAATATGTTTTTGATATTAATAATAGTTAATAGCTGTGCTTTAAAAAAATAAAATAATGCTATTTTCCAAATTACCATATTAGCTATTAAGCCCAAAAAAATGCTACGAAAAAATGGACATAAAATTTAAACATTCCAAAAGACATTTCTAGGCCAAATATTTATTTATTAAAATTTCAATAAATTAGAGTTTTCAAATATATTTTATTTCTTTTTAAGTCTTAAAAAATTCCAGTTAACATATAGTGTATTAATATTAGCTTCAGGTATACAATTTACTGATTCAACCCTTACATACAACACCCAGTGCTCATCATAATAAGTGCACTCCTTAATCTCCATCACCTGCTTGTCACCCACCTCCTTACTGGTAACCCTCAATTTGTTCACTATAGCTGAGTCTGTTTCTTGGTTTTCCTCTTTTTTTCCCCTATGATCGTTTGTTTTGTTTCCTAAATTCCACATATGAGTGAAATCATATGGTATTTGTCTTTCTCTTATTTTTTTTAAAGATTTTATTTATTTATTTGAGAGAGAGAGTGAGAGAGCACAAGCAGAGGGAGAGGGAGAAACAGGCTCGATATGGGGTTAACTATGTGGGGCTCAATCTCAGGACCCTGGGATCATGACCTGAGCTGAAGGCATATGTTTAACCGACTGAGCCATCCAGGTGCCCCTCTCTGACTTATTTTGCTTAGCATAATATTCTCTAGTTCCATCCATGTCATTGCAAATGGCTGGAATTCATTCTTTTTCATGGCTGGGTAATATTCCATTGTGTGTATGTGTGTATGTCTGTATGTATGTATGTTTGTATGTATGTATATGTGTGTGTGTGTGTGTGTGTGTATACACATCATGTCTTTTTTATCCATTCAACAGTCAATGGACATTTGGGCTCTTTCCATAATTTGGCTGTTGGTTGATAATCTGGGTACATGTATCCCTTTGAATTATTATTTTTGTATTTTTGGGTAAATGCCTAGTAGTGCAATTACTGGATAGTAGGGTAGTTCTATTTTTAACTTTCTAAGGAACCTCCATACTGTTTTCCAGAGTGGCTATACCAATTTGCATTCCTACCAACAGTGCAAGAGTGTTCCCCTTTCTCCATATCCTGCCAACATCTGTTGTTTCCTCGGTTGTTAATTTTAGCTACTCTGACACATGCGTGGTGATATCGCATTGTAGTTTTGATTTGCATTTCCCTGATGATGAGTGATGTTGAGCATGTTTTTATGTGTCTGTTGGCCATCTGGATGTCTTCTTTGGAAAAATATCTATTCATGTCTTCTGCCCATTTGTTAACTGGATTATTTGTATTTTGGGTTTTGAGTTTTATATTTTCTTTATATTTTTTTGGATACTAAACCCCTCATCAGATATGTTGTTTGAAACTATCTTCTCCCATTCCAAAGATTACTTTTTAGTTTTGTTGTTTCCTTCTCTGTGCAGAGGCTTTTTATTTTGATGTCCTAATAGTTTATTTTTGCTTTTGTTTCTCTTGCTTCAGGAGATATACCTAGTAAGAAGTTGCTGTGGCTGAGGTCAAAGAGGTTATTGCCTGTGTTCTCCTCTAGGATTTTGATGGACTCCTGTCTCACCTTTAGGTCTTTCAACCATTTGGAGTCTATTTTTGTGTGTGGTGTAAGAAAGTACTCCAGTTTCATTCTTTTGTATGTGGCTGTCCAGTTTTCCCAACACCATTTGTTGAGAAGATTGTCTTTTTTCCATTGAACATTCTTTCCTGCTTTGTTGAAGATTAATTGAATGTGTGTAGTTTTGGGTCCATCTCTGGGTTTTCTATTCTGTGCCATTCATCTATTTGCCTGTTTTTGAGCCAGTACCATACTGTCTTGATCACTACAGCTACAGCTTTGTAATATAACTTGAAGTCTGGAATTGTGATGATGATTCTTACTTTCTTATTAAAGTAAGAAATTCTTCATTAACTCATGAAAATATGAACCATTGGTATTAATCTGCATAATGAATGATAAAAAGCTTTACTTTTCTTTTTCAAGGTTGCTTTGGCTATTTGGAATCTTTTGTGGTTCCATACAAATTTTAGGATTGTTTGTTTTAGCTCTGTGAAAAATACTATTGGTGTTTTGATAGGAATTGCATTAAATGTGTAGAATTTGGGTAATACAGACATTTTAACAGTGTTCTTCCTATCCATGAGCATGGCATGTCTTTCCATTTCTTTGTGTCATGGCCAATTTCTTTCATCAGTGTTTTAGTTTTTGGAGTATAGATCTCTTACCTGTTTGGTTAGGTTTATTCCTAGGTATCTTATGGTTTTTGATGCAGTTGCAAATTGGATTGATTCCTTGATTTCTCTTTCTCCTGCTTCATTACTGGTGTGTAGAAATGCAACAGATTTCTGTATGTTGATTTTGTATCCTGAAACTTTACTGAATTTGTGTATCAGTTCTAGCATTTTTTTTGCTGTAGTCTTTGGATTTTCTATATAGAGTATCATGTCATCTGTCAATAGTGAAATGTGATTTCTTCCTTGCTGATTTGGATAGTTTTATTTCTTTTTGTTGTCTGATTTCTGTAGCTAGGATTTCCAGTACTATGTTAAATAACAGTGGTGAGAGTGGACATCCCTGTTCTGTTACTGACTGTAGAAGAAAAGCTCTCATTTTTCCCCATTAAGGATGATATTAGCTGTGGGTTTTTCATATATGCTTTTATGATGTTGAGGTATGTTCCCTCTATCCCTACTTTGTTGAGGGTTTTTAGAATGGATGTTGTACTTTGTCAAATGCTTTTTCTGCATTTATTTAAAGGATCATATGTTTTATCCTTTCTTTTGTTAATGTGCTGTATCACATTGATTGATTTGTGAATATTGAACCACGCTTGCAGCCCAGGAATAAATCCCCTTGATTTTGGTGAATGATTTTTTAATGTGCTATTGGATTTTGTTTGTTAGTATTTTATTGAGAATTTTTGTATCCTTGTTCATCAGGGATATTGGCCTGCAGTTTTCTTTGTTATTGGAGTCTTTATCTAGTTTTGGTACCAGGGTAATGCTGACCTCATAGAATTAATTTGGAATTTTTCCTTCCTTTTCAATTTTTAGAATAATTTGAGAAGAATAGGTATTAATTCTTCTTTAAATGTTTGGTAGAATTTGTATTTGAAGCCATCTGGCCCTGGACTTTTATTTCTTGGGAGATTTTTTATTACTGATTCAATTTCTTTGCTGGTCATTGGTTTGTTTAATCTTATATTTCTTTCTGTTTCAATTTTGGTAGTTTGTATGTTTATACATTTTTAGGAATTTATTCGTTTCTTCCAGGCTTATTGGCATACAGTTTTTCATAATATTCCCTTATAATTGTTTGTATTTTTGTGGTGGTGGTGATTATTTCTCCTCTCATTTGTGATTTTATTTATTTGGGTCCTTTCTCTTTTCTTTTTCATAAGTTTGGCTAGGGGTTTATCAATTTTATTAAATTTTTCAAAGAACCAGCTCCTGGTTTCAATGATCTGTTCTGTTGTTTTTTTTAGTTTCTATAGCATTTGTTTCTGCTCTAATCTTTATTATTTCCCTCCTTCTGCTGGCTTTAGGCTTCATTTGTTGTTCTTTTTCTAGCTTGTTTAGGTGTAAGGTTAGTTTTTTTTATTTGAGATTTTTCTTGCTTCTTGAAGTAGGCCTGTATTATTATATACTTCTCTCTTAGGACCCCTTTGGCTGCATCCCAAATGTTTTGGACCATTGTGTTTTCATTTTCATTTGTTTCCACAATTTTTTTTTATGTCTTCTTGATTTCCTGGTTGACCCATTCATTGTTTAGGAGCATATTGTTTAACCTCCATGTATTTGTGGTCTTTCCAAATTTTTTCTTGTCATTGCCTTCAAGTTTTATAGCATTGTAGTTAGAAGATATGCATGGTATGATCTCAATCTTTTTGTCTTGTTGAGGCCTGATTTGTGACCTAGTATGTGATCTATTCTGGAGACTGTCCCATGTACACTCAAAAAGAATGTGTACTTTACTGCTTTGGGATGGAATGTTCTGAATATAACTTAAGTCCTTCTGGTCTAGTATGTCATTCAAAGCCATTGTTTCCTTGTTGATTTTCTGCTTAGATGATCTGTCCATTGATGTAAATGGGGTGTTAAAGTTCCCTATTATTATTGTATTATTATCAATTAGTTCCTTTATGTTTGATATTAATTATTTTATATATTTGGGTGCTCGCATCTTCGGGGCATAAATATTTACAATTGTTAGATCTTCTTGTTGGATAGTCTCCTTTATTATTTCCTTCTTCATCTCTTGTTACAGTCTTTGGTTTAAAATCTAATTTGTCTCATAAATATTGCTACTCTAGCTTTCTTTCGACCTCCATTTGCATGGTAAGTATTTCTCCATCCCCTCACTTTCAATCTGCAGGTGTCTTTAGTTCTAAAATGAGTCTCTTGTAGGCAGCATATAGATGAGTCTTGTTTTTATATCCATTCTGACACCCTTTGTCTTTTGATTGGAGTGTTTAGTCTATGTCTATTCAGAGTAATTGTTGATATGAATTTAGTGTTATTGTATTATCTGTAAAGTCGGTGTTTCTGGAGATTTTTCCACTCAAAGAGTCCCCTTTAATATTTCTTGAAGGGCTGGTTTAGTGGTTATGAGCTCCTTTGGTTTTTGTTTCTCTGGGAAACTCTTTATCTCTCCTTCCATTTTGAATGATAACCTTGCTGGATAGAATATTCTGGCTGCAGATTTTTCCCATTCAGTACTTAGAGTATATCATGCCACTCTCTTCTGGCTTGCCAAGTTTCTTTTGAAAAATATCCTGCTTGCTCTATGGGTCTTCCCTTGTAAGTTAGGGACTTTTGTCTTTCTGCCTTTTTTTTTTTTTAAGATTTATTTATTTATTTATTTGACAG